TGAGGTAATAGGACTGCTGGTGAAGCTTTAATGGCTCTACTGAAGCTTATTGTCATCGTTATCTTTCTGACAACTGTGTTTATTGGCTGCTATCTGCAATGCTCAGGTTAATTGAATTCTTAGAAAATGAGATTGTTTCTTAAATATGCAATGCCTTTTATGCCATTTTTCATTTTTGGTGAAGAAAGGTGCTGTTTTGTATAAGGGTATGAGGGGTGATAGGAAAATGAATGTTTAATACTATATACGGCCCCATTCAGAATAAGGGACTAACTAGTCCCAGGGTCAAGTAAGCTTGCTGTCTAATCCACTAATAGACTTTAACAATGTATTTACTTAATGAAATCAACCAAGTAAATATAATTTTGCAGAGATAAACTTATCGCAAATTGTCCTTATCTTGTTACTTGTTCTTATAAGTCCTTCACTCAGACTGTACCAGTACTAGTAACAGTTTCTCTAAGTCCAACATGTACCAGTACACAGTAAATAAATAAAACAACTCCCCAGAGAAATACATGGTAGTTGCTCACAGTCCGCTGTCAATGTCTCTCAAAGTCTCTCGCTATTAAAGGTCACTCTCCCTCACTGTTCGTCCTATATGTATACTTTTCACAAATCTAGAACTTTCTGGAGAACCTTCCATAGTGATATTCCACACATGACTTGAAACATTTAGAAGGTACTAGAATATAAACAATAAACTGACAGTTCATAACACATGCTATGGGATCAGCGCATCAAATATGGTGAACCCTGTATGAAAGCAAGAGCGCTAAATCCTGCAAGGTCTCCCGGCCTCCACATGCGTAGTTCTTGTTGGGGCCTAAAAATTAAACCTTGGAGCCGAGATTTAATCTGTTAAATGGTGGGGAGACCATTATGGGATTTAACAGTCTTGCTTTCATATAGAGTCTGCCATATTTGATCCGCAGATCAGTAGATCCAAGGATCATCTACTCTGAATTGGCTCAATGTAGTCCCCTGAAGAAGCTAGGGAGTAGTTTTTGTGCCCTCAGCTTGATTATCCCTTAGCTGGTCAGAGAGACATTTCAGACAATAAAGCTGTTTACATTGGCTGCACTTATAACTGAGAATTCCCATGAAGATAGATCAACCCTGCAGGAACAATAAGTTTATTCTAAGTGCTCCCTAAGAGAGGTCTTGACTGAGTTATGGAGAGAATTTATTAAAAAGAGACAGACAGAGTTACGAGAGATACAGATGAGAGTTCCGAAGTCAGAGATTTCACGTGTAAATACCATGTGTTCACTGAGCAGATTATCTTTACTGGTCATAGTGTATATTGATGCCTCCAAATTAAATCACACCACAAATCAAATCACTCAACAAATTGAATCAGTTTGCAATACTAGTGCCTTTTTATATCATAACTCTAAGAAACATGCATGCTACACCCTCACCAGCTCATCATAATTAACAGAATTACCAATGGATCGCGCAACTCTACCAAGTAAACAACTGTTCAATCAAATGTCAAATCAAAACACAACAGTGTATAGTTAGTTTTTTCACTGTGGGAATCATGTTAAGTACGAAAATGCATAGATTTAGTTAAAAATTTAATTTCCTAGCTCTTGCTCAAGCTTAAAATAAGCAGTTACTAAATTTGAAGAAGCTCAAAACATGACATGACATGTGTCTTATATAATGATGCACATGGTTTGGCATGTGCATCTCAATGACATGTAATGATTACCAAGAAATGATCTTTTTGTAAGCACTGTTTCAGGGGAAAAAACTAAAACTCAGTTGTTATGACACCATGTCCCTATCTCTGGAAACTACCACATGATGTGAATGTGCCAGGGCCTTCAGTACGTGTACAATAATCAATTTAAAGTGATGTACCACTGGCTTGCCAAAAAGTGATGTGCCTTTTCACTATTTTTCAGTGTTTACACGAGTTTTTTTTAAGTAAACAGATGTGATACCACAGTCTGTGAAATGTTCAGGCAGTATGAATGTTACAGTACCTAGTGGCATAATTTTCATTTTCATAGCATGTTCTGTTGTCTAAGCATTCTTTGGCATATTAGATAACACTTTCTATGACACTGATATCACGCAGTGGGACTAAAGGAACAGGATTTCCTTTCATTAAATTGACACTTCATGTGATAAGGATTATGTAGGCAACACTAAGATCCTGAGCTAATTAACCTTATATAAACTTAAAGGTATATTTTCAGCATTTGCAATTTTCTTTGTCTGCATATCCTACAAAGCTACTTATTTTTTCCAATACATACCTTAAAAAATGAATAAATAAATAAATAAGAAAAGTATATGACGTCGATTTTTCTTTCTGAAATGTGGTTTAAGTGTGGTTTAAGCTGGGTCTAAGTGACGTGTGTGTGTGGGGGGGGGGGGGGGTCATTCAAATCTAAATTGTTTGATTAGATATTAAAGGGTATGAAACATCCAATTCAAATGCTGGGGTGGTAAAGCAGTTTATTTATTATAAGAGCCTTTTCGTGAAGGAAAACTGAATTTTGCAGGAAATCCCCAGATAAGATAGTTTGATTCTTTAAATCGTTTGCATTTGGAGCTAGTGTGACAGAGTGACTCATAAACAGGGACGAGATTTTTTTCTTTGGACTTTTTGGGAGCCAAAATTATCATTGGCCTAATTGGCCCTCTGGACACCACGCCATATTTTCGGACTTTTTTTTTTTACTAAATGGCAGTCTCTACCCTGCATAAAGTTGTGTGTAGATTTGGATATTTAAACATGTCACTGATTTACTTAAGTAAATAATTGAATTACAGTGTTATATTCTAGAGGATTTTTTCTTTTTTTGTTTCTTTAATGTAAACTTTACACATGTATGCGGAAGGCAGTTATAAAATAGACCTAAGGTGTAGTATATAGTATGTTCAGACAAAGTTAAACAAAAACTTGTTAAGGTCTAGATATTCAGTCAGTAGTGTGCCATTTTTCCATAAATGATTAATTTGTACCACCAGCGTTGACGTAGGCACTGGCGGTACACATGGTTTCAGTTCCGACCCGTCTTGTTAATCTTTGAAGACAAGTAGTCTAGATAATTTAATCTAAGTATTTCAGTACAAAAGACTAATGTTACTTCATAATATTAAAAATAAAATCACTGGAAAGTAGATAAAGCATAGGTCAGTCTTTTTTTGATACACCCAAATTACTTTTTTGTAAAGAAAAAATAAAGAAAATAGATAAAGTTTTGTTTAAAAACTAGTTACAAATGAATATGGCTTCTAAAAGGATATTGTAGCTCTGACCAATGTCAGGTTACGGAGATGTTACCATTGTGATCCTTTGACCAGTGGTGTAGAACATTTACACCAGGGGACAGGTATATTTGTACTGAACATGTCATAATAGTGTAGTGCTAGGACAGGGCCGTAGCCTCCGGGGGGGCAGGAATTTGGAATTTTACACACCACACCCACCCCCCTCGGTAGCTTCGCCCCTTTGTGTCCGCTTACTGCCCCCCCCTGGCATTTTGCTCAGGCTACGGCCCTGTAGGAGATCAGTAAAAGAATGCATTGACCTAAATTGGTGAGCAGAAATAATGTAAAATGTGTCTTTTTGCACTGTGCTTGTAGGTAAGGGTAATTTACGTACCGGTAATGCAAATACCAATTACAGAAGGGTAATACATGGATTGTATTATATTATTATTATTATAATAATAATTATTATTATTGTTATTATTATTTTATATTGTACAAGGCCATGATAATGTATGTACCAGAAGTAAAATTGGTAATGTTTCTATGATAAGGTTTATTTGGGTTCAAAGCTGAGGGACTGTTAAAGTATTCTATTCAAATATACTTGAATGAAGTCAAAAGTAAAAGATATGATGGCATTCATTTGGTGTGTGTGAAAGTTATCTTCCAGAGTTTCTCAATGGAAAGTAAAAGAGATAAACGTCAAAAAATGTTATATTGGCTAGTAGTTTGTAATAAATATCAGATTGAAATTGAATAAAGCAACCTTTTTGATTTTGGAACTGAGACTGCAGTTCTGTTGTTTCTGACACCGATATCGCTCACTGATATTTCTATGGGCTCTTTCCCAGTGAAACTATTATTCTAGGTTCATTGATTGATCCAGTTCTGTGGAAACTCTACCAGAATGCAATCAGATAAATTAACATGATGTAGATTAACATGACTCCTGGCATTGAGTATAATACAGAAAAGCTGGTGATGATATGGGTAGGTTTAAAACAAGAGGCGTATTAATTATAATCTGTTAAGCTGAGCTATAAAAAATAATAATTTTGTAATCCTGTTTTATGTAATGTATGTCCATAATGGCAAGAACAGAAAAGCTGGTGATGATATGGGTAGATTTGAAACAAGAGGTTTATTAATTATAATCTGTTAAGATAAGTATTAAAAAATAATAATTTTGTAATCCTGTTTTATGTAATGCATGTCCATAATGGCAAAATATCAAATCTCTCTACTTTTCTCACTGACAAGATAGCTTCTGAATCATTTTTTAATGTTGTCTTCACTTTGTTATAGCAATGTGTTGTCTAAGTTTTTCCTTTGTACTGATTTATCAATCTGTATATTTGCCAGCTTTGCTGCCTATTTAAAGTTATGGAATTTGAATCACAAAACATAGTTATTGGAAATGCCATTAAATATCTATTTGAATTTAGTAAGCAGCTACTGCATTGTTCATACTTTATGGGATATTGACTGAAGATGAGGTTTTTATTATAAGTAGGTCATAATTATATTGTGTGTTGATACTCAGGCACATTACAGGTGGCAAATCTGATAATATATAACCACAAATGAAAAAAGAGCATTATAAAAATCCAAGTGATATATTTCAGAATTTAATAATTTAAGTTGTATTTTATGTTGGTACAATATGTAGAATCTAAGACATAGTATGTTTGTACTTTATATAATTAAAGTAATATCTATTTAGAACACATTTGCCATAAAATAAGAAAGGGAGCTTTGCTTACCTGTAAAGGATCTTCATTCAAGGTGTGATGGTTTATCCTGTAAAAAAAAAGAATAAGAACTAAATAATTCAGAGACTACTTTATAAATTTACTTTAATGGTAATAAATCAAAACTTCTCTTCAAAACAGAGGCTATTATTTTCTGTGTTCCAAATATACTGTAATATTATATTTTTTTTTGTTAAAAAGGCTTGGGACCATACTTGGCTATACTGCAAATCCTTCCAGTGCTTCCCTCTTCAGGGGTTATATTGGTATGCATATATACTGTAAAACTGTATATCAAAAACTACCACAGTTCACACTCAGAGAACCGTCTATGCCCCATGGTCTTCCTGCTACTGAATACTTGGATGCTCTGTGTGTGGTACTTATAGATGCATCTTAAGACTGGTACAAAAATAGATAACCTCGGGCAGATGCGCCACACTGTGTTGGCACATTGCGGTGACATGGAGGAGTCAATTTTATTGTGGAAAGCTCAGGGTTTTATGAATCAATGTCTATCATTAGGAGGTGGGAGGTGGATCTTGCATATAACTCTTTGTTCTGTGCACATTTTACAGTCATTAATATTGAAAAATGGTGTCTTTTATTTCTTTGTATTGTGATTATAGTAATACTTTATGGATTTATATCCTTAAACAATGATACATAACCTTTGAATAAATTTAAAATTCGGGAGACGAATTCGAAGGGCATTTTGAATTAAAGTTATTATTGAAGTGACAGCTTCTTGGTACCCTGTTACAAATGCATGTGTCTATAGCGAGTGCATCAACCTTTGCAGGTGCTGGATGTTTAAAACACCTTTTGCTAAAACAACAGCATTAAATTGACTTCTTGTTGACAGATTTCTCACCCATAGGTTTGAAGCGTGGGCATGCATTGACACATATTTTGTTTTACCAATAAACACATTTTACGCTTAACCTGAGGGAATGGGAAACATCTCAAAAGCTGTATTTGCAATTTTCTTCTGAGTTTACCAATTAACTTAATATTAAGTTATATTTTCCTAGCCAAAGAAGATGACATGTGTCCAGATATTTGAGCTTGTATGACAGAATAAAGGTCAAGATGCTGTAAGCTCAGTCTCCAACAATTTTACCACTCATCAAAAATTGCATATTCTTTTTTTTAGATATAATCAAATGGTATTCAACACTTGATTTCAAATTTTTATAGAAGATAGTTTCAGTGAGCGTACTGCTAGCACATGCTTTTTATCATGTTTATGAGGATTAAAAAAGGTTTATTGCTTTCTGATTTTTATTAGCACTTCAGGGTTATGGTATTAGCATTTTAATGCTTTTGGTTTCTGATTGCTTCACTTGTTCTGATAACCAGTCTAATACTCAGTTCCTAGACCTAAATCGATACAAGATCGATCCATCTCCAGGGGGTTTCTCGCTAAATTGCTTTTAGCTTAAGCAGCTTAGATGTCTGGCATGCCTACTAAAGCTGATAAACAATAATTAATTTCCCCCTAGCAGCTTCAGTAGGCATGACAGACATCTAAGCCGCTTAAGTTGATTGCAATTTATGAGATTATCCTCAAGGAGATGGGTCGATCCACAGTTAGTATGATACGGTCTGGGAATAGTNCTAGGTTCATTGATTGATCCAGTTCTGTGGAAACTCTACCAGAATGCAATCAGATAAATTAACATGATGTAGATTAACATGACTCCTGGCATTGAGTATAATACAGAAAAGCTGGTGATGACATGGGTAGGTTTAAAACAAGAGGCGTATTAATTATAATCTGTTAAGCTGAGCAATAAAAAATAATAATTTTGTAATCCTGTTTTATGTAATGTATGTCCATAATGGCAAGAACAGAAAAGCTGGTGATGATATGGGTAGATTTGAAACAAGAGGTTTATTAATTATAATCTGTTAAGATACGTAATAAAAAATAATAATTTTGTAATCCTGTTTTATGTAATGCATGTCCATAATGGCAAAATATCAAATCTCTCTACTTTTCTCACTGACAAGATAGCTTCTGAATCATTTTTTAATGTTGTCTTCACTTTGTTATAGCAATGTGTTGTCTAAGTTTTTCCTTTGTGCTGATTTGTCAATCTGTATATTTGCCAGCTTTGCTGCCTATTTAAAGTTATGGAATTTGAATCACAAAACATAGTTATTGGAAATGCTATTAAATATCTATTTGAATTTAGTAAGCAGCTACTGCATTGTTCATACTTCATGGGATATTGACTGAAGATGAGGTTTTTATTATAAGTAGGTCATAATTATATTGTGTGTTGATACTCAGGCACATTACAGGTGGCAAATCTGATAATATATAACCACAAATGAAAAAAGAGCATTATAAAAATCCAAGTGATATATTTCAGAATTTAATAATTTAAGTTGTATTTTATGTTGGTACAATATGTAGAATCTAAGACATAGTATGTTTGTACTTTATATAATTAAAGTAATATCTATTTAGAACACATTTGCCATAAAATAAGAAAGGGAGCTTTGCTTACCTGTAAACGATCTTCATTCAAGGTGTGATGGTTTATCCTGTAAAAAAAAAGAATAAGAACTAAATAATTCAGAGACTACTTTATAAATTTACTTTAATGGTAATAAATCAAAACTTCTCTTCAAAACAGAGGCTATTATTTTCTGTGTTCCAAATATACTGTAATATTATAATTTTTTTTGTTAAAAAGGCTTGGGACCATACTTGGCTATACTGCAAATCCTTCCAGTGCTTCCCTCTTCAGGGGTTATATTGGTATGCATATATACTGTATAACTGTATATCAAAAACTACCACAGTTCACACTCAGAGAACCATGGTCTTCCTGCTACTGAATACTTGGATGCTCTGCATGTGGTACTTAAAGATGCATCTTAAGACTGGTACAAAAATAGATAACCTTGGGCAGACGCGCCACACTGCGTTGGCACATCGCGGTGACATGGAGGAGTCAATTTTATTGTGGAAAGCTCAGGGTTTTATGAATCAATGTCTATCATTAGGAGGTGGGAGGTGGATCTTGCATATAACTCTTTGTTCTGTGCACATTTTACAGTCATTAATATTGAAAAATGGTGTCTTTTATTTCTTTGTATTGTGATTATAGTAATACTTTATGGATTTATATCCTTAAACAATGATACATAATCTTTGAATAAATTTAAAATTCGGGAGACGAACTCGAAGGGCATTTTGAATTAAAGTTATTATTGAAGTGACAGCTTCTTGGTACCCTGTTACAAATGCATGTGTCTATAGCGAGTGCATCAACCTTTGCAGGTGCTGGATGTTTAAAACACCTTTTGCTAAAACAACAGCATTAAATTGACTTCTTGTTGACAGATTTCTCACCCATAGGTTTGAAGCGTGGGCATGCATTGACACATATTTTGTTTTACCAATAAACACACTTTACGCTTAACCTGAGGGAATGGGAAACATCTCAAAAGCTGTATTTGCAATTTTCTTCTGAGTTCACCAATTAACTCAATATTAAGTTATATTTTCCTAGCCAAAGAAGATGACATGTGTCCAGATATTTGAGCTTGTATGACAGAATAAAGGTCAAGATGCTGTAAGCTCAGTCTCCAACAATTTTACCACTCATCAAAAATTGCATATTCTTTTTTTTAGATATAATCAAATGGTAATCAACACTTGATTTCAAATTTTTATAGAAGATAGTTTCAGAAAGCGTACTGCTAGCACATGTTTTTTATCATGTTTATGAGGATTAAAAAAAGTTTATTGCTTTCTGATTTTTATTAGCACTTCAGGGTTATGGTATTAGCATTTTAATGCTTTTGGTTTCTGATTGCTTCACTTGTTCTGATAACCAGTCTAATACTCAGTTCCTAGACCTAAATCGATACAAGATCGATCCATCTCCAGGGGGTTTCTCGCTAAATTGCTTTTAGCTTAAGCAGCTTAGATGTCTGGCATGCCTACTAAAGCTGATAAACAATAATTAATTTCCCCCTAGCAGCTTCAGTAGGCATGACAGACATCTAAGCCGCTTAAGTTGATTGCAATTTACGAGATTATCCTCTAGGAGATGGGTCGATCCACAGTTAGTATGATACGGTCTGGGAATGGTCCCTGACTGAGAACACACAGAGCTTTCTCCATACCGATATCCTTCTGAAACCAATTAGTTGTCGTTTTTCACCAAGGGAAGAGAAAAAAGCTACCTAGTGGGGTTATAGAATACTTCATCCATTCTTCTAAAATATGTAGAATCAAATTACACTT